GAGCTAAGTATGGAACATTCTAAAAGTTTACAGACTTTATGTTTAAAGTGTTCTTAAGGTCCCATCACAGAAACAGTTTGCTTTATGACAAAGAGACTGATCTGGGAGTTGGAGACAGGAGAGCAAGTGAGCGAATGGGTGATAAAATCTATTTGAGAGGAACTGTGTGTGTGTGTGACTTTCATAGCACCTGTTCCTGAGCTAACTGGAAGCTCCATGGCATGAGGGGGACTGATGCCTGGCGTGGGCTATCCACGTCCCCCAGGCCTCCAGGCCTCAGTTTCCTCAGTTGTTAACAGCGTAAACACCGAGACAGCCGCCTGGGTCTGCGTTTTGGCTCTGCCACTTACTGGCTAGTTATTTTACCTCACTTGCCTCCCTTTCTTCATCTGTAAAATCAGAACAGAAGTGGCACCTGCCTCATAAGGTTGTGAGAATTGGAAGAGTTAATCTGCATAAGTTGCTTAGAACAGGCCGGAAGATGGATGATAGAAGCCTTAGTTGTTTTTAATTTAATAATTATGATCGTCATCTTCATCCTCATCGTCACCACGTGACGATAAGGGAATCCTGAAGGAGTGACTTATGTGACCTTTAATGACTTCCAGAAAGAGGAGGCCCCGCTGGGCAAAAGGAGATGAGTGAGTGCCAAACCGGCCATTTGCTTGAAATTAAGTCTGCAAAATGGATACTACTTGTTCCCCTGAGCACTGAGAATTTTTTAAAAGGTAGTGTCAGAGTGTCTACTACTTGAGACAGACTCTAGATCCTAGGAGTAAAGAATATGGAATCCCTTGCGGGCTCCTAAACGGTTCTACTCGGTCGTATCCGGCTCCCCACCGACGGCTCAGGCACGCAGCAGTCAACATAGACGGACAGACGAAGGAAGAAACCAGCTGGGATTGAACCTCCTGGTGCCCTCCCTGCCCCATAAAGCAGGTCCTTGGAGCGGCTGGCCGGGAAAGGAGGGAGCGCCGCGGAGGAAGTCTGTAAGTGTGGGAATTACGAGCACAGTGCAGAGCATTCAGTTCACGAAGTTGGCATGTTCGCTAGACCTCACTACGAAGGCGGAGTCGTAGATATCGCCCAACTGGCTAAGTAGGTGTGTGTTTGCTTTCACACAATTTTGGGGTGAGCGGGATTGAGACCGGATACCGCGCGCGCACAGCCCGCCACTCTCACCCCCGCTTGAGGGTAAAGAGGAAGCCTTAGACTGTTGGGCATGTAGACAGTGATTGAAAAAAAACTTTGTACCCTATTTATTGGGCCTAAAGCTCCAAATTCCCGCTCTGCTCCTAGGTGATATTTCTCCAGGCTGTGTGGGACACCATCACCTCACCAATGAGAACGGGCGACTCCTGCAGGGCCGGAGCCTCGCAGAGCCGGGTCTTCGCAGAGGTGAGTTTGCTTTTGTCACAGCCCTTTGATCGACTTTGGGCAAATCGCTTAGCTTTCTAGACCTCGGATTTCTTGTCTCTTTAACGCGGAGAGGGAACCGCAGCTGGATGACGCCCAGGGCAGCGGCGGACACCCGGGCGGCTCGGCCGGAGCAGAGCGCGCGACACGCGCCCGGGAACTTTGCCCGGAGCGCGGGGCCGGGACCCCCAGCGCCGGGGCTGAGGGCCCCCTCCAAGGGAGCGCACCCGTGGCGCCCCTCCTCTCTCCTCCACGTCACGGGGGCCGCTCGGCGCTCTCCCACCCCCGGCTGAGGGGGAGCGACTGCCTTCGCGGAGGCGGCGAAGGAGCAGGAGGCGGGAGCAAGTCGCCGCCACCGCGCCGCAGAGCGGCCGGGAGCCCGGAGCCCGGAGCCCGGAGCGCAGCGCGCGGCCCAGCGGGGCGGCCTCTGCGTTCGCGAACGCCCCGCTCCCTCTCGTAAGTCGGCTTGGCCACGCAGGCCCGCCAGGAACTCCCGGGGCCGGGATGCGGGGCTCCTGTCCCAGCCGCTGGGTGACAGGGACACCCGGACCCTCTCCTCCAAGCGACTTTCACTTTCCCGCCGGGGGAAACTTGGGCGCTGCGTCCCTCTCGGGGACGGGGCGGGGGTGTCGGCCCGAGAAGCCGCACCGAGGTCCGGGGCTGAGGTCCGGCCTGACCGCGCGCCCGCCGGCTTGCGGGTGTCCCGAGGGGCCGGCGCAGGCACCTGACGGGCGCAGATGGAGTCGGGGACCCGTGGGCGACCCCGCGGTGCGCCAAGCGAATGCTGCAACTTTGGGGCCCTGAGCGGCGCCGGGCGCTGGAAAGTTCCCTGAGGCCAGCGCTGGGAAAGGGCGACGGGCTGCGGGGCGGCCGGCGCGGGTCAGCGCGAGGGCGTCCTGGGAGATGCGGGTCGCGGCGCCCGCACCCCGGGAAAGCGCGCAGCGGGGAGGCCAGGGG